AAGTCTGGACCACAGCTTAGAACTGGATGACCTGGCCCTGTAAGAAGAAAAAAAAAAAAAAAAAAAAAGAATGGGTGAAAATTCTGAAGACCAATAGTTTTATATCTGTGGGCTAAATATAGAGAAAATAAATACGCATTTCAAGATATAACTCTGCAGCTAAAACCTCTCAACATAATAGTCTTGACAAACTGAGCCAGACATTGTAAGAAGTCGACTTTGTAAATCATTAAACCCAATATGCTACCTCAAGTTGTTCACAAAACTTCTCAATTTCCTGTCTAAACCAATTTACAAACTTCCTAACATTTGAAACTAACAGTCAACCTAAACCATTCATTACCATCAAAATATTTATTGTAACCGACATCAAATAAAGTCAGGACATTTTAAACATTAGCCAATAGATATGAAATTGGTGAGATGAATATCAAGCCCCTTGTAATATTTTGTCTCACTAACAGCAGTATGTCAGGTCTTATGTTAAACCTCATATAATTGCAACAAATCAGGTAAACGCATCAACTTTTTGCCCCTTCTGTTACCCAGACACCCAATCAGCACATAACATTGCTTTCAGACTAAGATACTTCCTCAACAAACTTAATCTTTAGTATTTGTCCAATACATTCACATTTTACGACTGTCTTTCAGTTTCTAAACCATCTTTCTACAGAAACAAACAGAGGAACAATTATTGACTTAGATATAAGCTGCTGCATTCAGTCAAATTCACATCCCGACTCTAAAGTGTTGATGCTGCTTCCTTCCTACCTTTCTCTTCTTGTCACCACCCAACTCAAAGTGCTTGCATCTCTTGATGGCCAGCATTCTCTTGGATCTGCAGTTGGGTTCCACACACTCAAGCCTCAATACAATTTTCTTTGTTGTCTTGGCCTGTAACAGACATTTCCCTTTTGCTTAATATAAAAAAAAAAACCTTTTTTTTTCTTGAATAAATCTTGGAATCTCCACAGAAAAGTAGCCGTTACCTTTTTACGGAAAATTGGCTTTGTTTGACCACCATATCCGCTCTGCTTTCTGTCGTATCTCCTCTTACCTGCAGAGAAATTTTAGTTCAGTAACAAAACAACAGTTTCAAATTTTGCCACATTTGGTCTGTCTACAAAATTCTGTAATGTGTGGCAAATTTGCAAACCCCCAATTTAAAAGCAATTACAGTTTCAAGTCTTCTGGGGCATCTCTCTACCAACATCTTCACAGCTCAAGCTCAGGTTGGAGAGAATATGTTAAGATTTACCTTCAAAGTACTTTTAAACTGGTGAACATGCCTTCATGCCTCCTGTTGCGCATGACAGTGTTCTCGATTTTCATTCCAGTGTCTGCTTTTATTCAGTGGCATCTCCGTTTTAACACACTCCAGTAAAATAATCAGGTCACAGATAGAACAAGACTGCATATTGATGAGCTAAGCCATTTAACTCAGGTGTGTGGAAGCAGAGACATGTGAACTGTTGCAGGACACCTGGGCCATTTCTCAATCTGTGTACCTGTGCATTCTCGTGTGCTCATGAATCATCATCAACATCAGCCCTAGTACTGTTCCAATTCACAAGAACAGCAACCCGATACCAGACAAAGTCCCCGGATGCTTTTCTCAACCCTCTCCATTTACTGAGTATGCATCAGAGCAGACTTGCCCGTTCTCGAGATTGACAGCTGTCCCAGTATGCACTGTGGCAGCAGCAGCTTTCAATGGAGCGCTCCATTGAAAGTTAGAAGTTAAAACTAATCTAAATCTAAATGCAGCTCTAGGCGAGCCGGGCATTGATATAATAACGGGCCAATTGACCCATATTTATGCTGCCGTTCTCACCAAGTCAAGACCTCCCTGTGTTCTTCTCAAAAACATACTTGGCAAGAACATGAGTCCGTACTTGCATTCTAGTGACTTGAATGTTCTCAGTATGTTGAGATTAGAGCAATCTGCCAAGAAAGTAACATTTAAAAGCAATTTTATTGTTTGCCTGTACTGTATTTGCAGGCACCATAGTGAAAAATAGAATTCAACTGTACGTTTGTAAAACTGACTATTAAGACTACAACCTTTTTTTGTTAATATGTACTAATTGCTGATGAATATACAACTCAAGCACAATACGGTTATGTAGGAATAGATTGGTGAGAATATTTTCCCAACATGTTGCATCGTGTGCACCCAATTGTGAGAGGAAAAATGAGTCACCCTGTGCATAGAGGGAATCCTTTCCCTTCTTGTACTGGGTCACTTTGTGGGGCTGGTGCTTCTTGCACTTTTTGCAGTAAGTCCTGCGGGTCTTCGGGACGTTCACCTGAACAAAAATAACAATGAGACACTTCAATTTAGAGAAACACTAAACAATTTTGAAAAAAAAAATGTAAAGCAAGAATTAAGAGATAACAGGTAAACTTGGCATTTCTGTTGCGAATACAGAAACGCCATACTGAACATGTTATTTAAACGCCTGTGCTAAACATGCTAGCAGTTAGCCCACGTTAGCATGTAGCTTCAGCAGTATGAACATGTGCGGCTCTGTTGTACAATAACAGAGTACATTCCAAACTTAATATTCAATATATTCCTAAGTTAATACTAAATAATTTGATTTGCCAGACAGAGTAGCAACCTAGCAGCTTCTCGCCGCTAGCATAGCATAAGTATTAGCATTAGTATTTATATCAGTCTAACAACGAACAAAAGCATCAAAGTAGCTAATATAGTAAACGTAAGGTATATCGAACATCTGTAATAACATTTGAGCTGAAATAAAAACGAAATGATGCTATAAAGAGTAGGATTGCTGTTGATTTTACTAAATGCATCGGCATAGTTGATTCTTACCATGGCTGCGGCCCCGATGAGGAGGAAAAAGAGGAAGGATGAAGCCGGAAGCGGTTGTTTAAGTGGATCTCAGCGATGGGCAGTCTCCCCTAGTGGTGGAGATGTGTAAGATCAACAAAAATAGATACTTGAAAAATGTATCTGTTGTAATTTAACATCAGATTCCAGTTTGATGGGTGGTTAATTTTTACCCCTCCCTGATAAAAGTTTGATTTGACTTAAATTTGCTTTTGTAAAGTTTGGGTTTGTAGTTTAAAAGAGTTCAGAGTCAGGCTTGACTCAAAGTACCTGTAATCATAATTTTTTCATCTTGTTGTGTTTTTTTCCTTTAGCTAATTTTTAAGTTTTAGATTTCACTGAAACTTTAAACCAGACCTGAAATTACATCTGCAAATATTCACATAGTTGAAATATCATTTATTAAAGCAATTGTACAAAAACTTGAATAACTTGATTATAGTATTTTACCAAAAGCTGCAGAAGTGAGCTTATTTTGGTGAACAGAGCTGCTTGATGTCCACCAAGCCACGGCCAGCTACAACTGTACGATAAAAAAAAAAAAAAAACAAGAACCCTGTACTGTTCATTCGTTTACTTGTATAATGGATGAAGAAGCCTTTTGATGCATATGAAGAAATACTGACAGATTTTCTGGTATTCTGCCGCAGTAATACCAACCTGAACTGACTGGTAAGATCTGTGAAAGTTAAAATTCTTGCAGAATCTGATTCCGATAGTAAGGTCAGTTAAAATTCAGTTCTCCTGAAATGATCAGTTCCCCTGTTTGCACAACACTGCCATTACAAAGACCAGAGTGGCAGATTCAGATTCTGCTCAACCCTCTGGTACATATCTATAATTAGCCTCACAGGACCAGCTACAGCCACACACAAACACAAATTACTCTTTTTATTTCTTCACAACTTCTCTCTACAAAGCAAACATGCAGGCAAACCTTCCGCATTGATGATAAAAGCAAATGATTGGGCCCATCCTTCTTTGAACCCTCTGTTCTCTTCAGCTATCTTCCTTTTTCCCCCTTTGTTATCCATGGCCTAAGACACTCCTGCAGCTTTGTTTATAACTGCCACCTGCCTGGCACCACACAGCGCTGAAAAGTGTGTTGCATGCTATGATGCAATTTTTTGTTTATAGAAATGTGAAAAAAAAAAAATTTAATTGATCTATTATACAAATTTTTATAGCATTGGAAACATAATGAATGTTTGTTCGACCTCCTGCACACCATAATAAAACAAACTACAAAAAATTTTAAAATCTCTCTTATTCCACTGTTGAAAAAAGCTCAAGGAAGCCACAAGGGGGGCATTAAAGAGCTGCATGCAGCTCTGAGGCTGCGGGTTGCCAACCCCTGCCCTAAGTCTACAACTCTGAGGCTATACAGTGAGAGGAAGGACATGGGTTGAGGACTAGTGAGTGTTTTAGCCACTTTCCTGGATGAAACGGCACAGATCAACGAGCAGATCAAAAAGATTGCCACCACTGATCGAATGCTTGGCAAAAGCATGGTTAAAACAGGAGCCATTATGATAGGACAGGCCCCTGTATGGCATGTATAACTAAACAATAGAAGAAGTGGCTAATATATGCTGGGCAAAGCTGTAGAAAAATACAGCACTGAGGCTCTAATCATGGCAGCACAGGAAGAAGCTCTGAGTACAAAGGTTGGTGTCTACCGTACCAGACAATACCTTAAGTGCAGCTGTGCAGAGATGCTCCTGAGGCGACTATGTTGGAGTTTTCACCTTTATTCCAACACCCTGTGGAGAAAATAACACCACTGATGATTGATAGAATATCTGGAGGATCCTGCTGCAAATATTAAAGGACACAATCTTGAGGAGGGCATAGTCTAATCATGTACTTTCTATAAAGTAACTCAATTTTCATGGTCTACTGCAGCCTACAATAGAGGGAAACACCAAGCTACGTCTGTGATGTAACTTTCTCTATAACTGCTCTGAGATGGATATCAGATATCAGCAGGAGAATCTCTTCATGCAGCTGAAGTTAGCTACCATTTATTACTTTGAGGCTGTTATGACAAATGCTTTATTTAGTTCTAAGTTATCTTTTAATAATAAATAAATACTCATTAAGCCAAAGCAAGTTTGTTTTGGTGCACTCTATAAAGCCTCGAACTCAATGCTAATTCTGACATATTGAATTGTTAAAGCTTCCTGGGTGTTTTTTCTTTTCTTTTTTTTGAATACTCATGAAGTGTTTGCAATGACTTTGGTCTTTACTGGTTTAGAAGTTGTGTTTGAATATGACTTTTGATAATTACAATCACTGAGTTGGACTTTTTAAAAAATAGTATATTTGGTTTTCCCCTTTTGTTTTTGTTTTTTGTTTTTGAAGTCCAAAAAAAACTTTTTTTTCTCATGTAATTTTTTTTCTAAGTAAATTCTTCAACAATCTGAACTAGTTAATGTGTCAACTAATACTCTTTAAAAGACCATCAGTCAGGCTGGTTGGAACTACTTTTTCCATGGATATTCACTCGACAGTGAAGCTAGGACAGGGGGTGGTGAAAACTCCCTGTTCGCCCGTCTTAATTTCTATTTTTTTCTTAAAACCTCTGCAAAAGATATGCCAAGCATTTACGGCACCAAACTATATGTCTAGAAAAATGCATTTAAATACCATATAGAGTGATTAGTACACTGATTATTGGCCAATTTAAATCTGATTGGATTAAAATGCTTTATATTAGAAATATATCAGAAATTGAAAATACATTAATAGAATTCAAAGTAAAATCATCCCCTGTTTATGAGTCTGTATTATTTTTCTTAGAGCAATATTCTAAAACATTTGTTAATCATATCTACGCCTATCAATATCTTACAAAGATATACGGTCAGAGAAGATGACTGCTGAAGATAGGCAGCAGCCTCCCAGCGAACCTGACAGACGGACGGATATGCAGTTAAGAAATGCACGTAAGCAAACTCTTTTAGTTCCTTTGGCATGAGTAAAAAGCAAATATGATCTTTCATGCAACCAAGTAGAAAATTAAGAAACCTTCTTTTTAGCAAACCGAGCACTAACTGAAAGGCAGAGCAGGCTCTTTACAAACAGACACATTTATTCTCTTTCATTCTAATTATAATGACTTTAAACATTGAAAATGTTTAACAGAAACTGTTTAATGTTTGAAAAACCTCTCCTGGCTAAAACATTTGGTATACTTGGACTATCATACTAATAACTGACTGCTATAAATAACTTTTCCTTTAATTTACCTATAATCAAATATCTGTTGCTCTGTCTTCTCAGTTTCATGCAAGTAAACAATGTAAAAGCTTCCGTCTTCACACTCTGAAACCTGTAAAAGTGACCATTATTAACTTTTTATCTCTTCACCTCTCTTCCTCTCACAGCTATCAAACTGGCAGTCGCCCAAACAAGAAAAGATCTCAACCAAAAATGTAACTAACAGCGCCCTCAGAGTAATGTTTAACGCGCCTCAAACTTATCACCAAAACTGTCCAGAAGGCTGATATGAAAATGAGCAGGAAGAAAAAGAGGAAGTAAGCCTAGCTGATTCCTCTCTGTGGGTGTGTTTTAACTTCTTGCATCACAGACTATCAGACATTATATGGAAAGTAAGAAGAAGGTTCATGTTAAAGCGTTTAGATCCTCTCTATCTGCGCTGCGTTTGCCCAGTGCTTCACTGTTTTCAGGTGCAGGGTAAGTCACCACGCTGTTTCAAATGCTGCTCTTGTGTATCGGGGTATTTTTAGTCATTCTGTGTGAAAATTACTCAAAAAGTCTAAAGACACAGCTGTTTTGCTTCAGTGTGAAACTTGGTCGTTTTTATGCAAATCCTAAAAAACAAAAACTTTAAAATTCTTAAATTGTTTGCAGTAAAACCCCTGAGATGCGTTCTTCATTGGTTATTTGGGTAACTTAGTGTCAGAGTGACACTTTGTGCTTGTTCATTAAAGTAGGCCTGATGATAACAAAGCGGTATGACTGATCAGATAGTAGTTTCTTGTGGTTAGTGACTTATGATGAGATCTGCCAATTGAAAAATGATATTGCAGAATGCTTCTCTATTAAAGCTCCCCGGGATATTTTCTGCCTATAAGGAAACACCAGAGAAGAAAACTTCTTGGTACATTCCTGTTTGACAGTCTTACCCTGTTTGATTACATTTTTTGTTGTCATTTTAATTGATTCCTTATTAGTATATGAGGAAACCTGGTCACCCATGTTAGAAATATATGTTAAAATGTTAAAAATGTCAATGCAGGGTGTTTTACTAGGACTAATGTGAACATTTATTTCTAAATATTTGGGATGACAAAATTCCAGGGGTTTAGATCAGGTATTTCAACTGTGCACTATAGCAATTGTCAGGTAGAAGTGCTGCAGGGTAACTGGTTTCTTCTTTATATTTCGGTGTAACACTGATGCAACTTCCCCCTTTAGTTTGACTGTGTCAGACATTGTGAGCCAACTCTCCTCAGAAAACAACAAAAAAAAGTCCCTTTTATGGTAGCCATGGCATGCATTAAATTCTATCCAATTTAAAGGTTTATTGCTCCAGTATGTTACTGGGAAAATGAACTTGAATCTATATTTATGAGCTGCCTGGTAAGTGATGTGAAAAAAACAATGGTGGTGGGAAATGAGGAATGGGTAAGCAATGTTTCTGAGAATGGGGAACATCGCTCTCCGACTGTCACAGCTCAAACAAGGCTAATGAGTAGCGCTGCTGCTGGGTTGTTAAGAAATGCTATTGTGCTGGTTATAGCAGGGAGTGACTGAAGCTTCTGGTGGAGTTACTGTTCCAGTTCAGATGATAAAAGGAAGTGCTTGCAGGCCCAAAATAGGCTAAAACTGAAGTGCAAACACATTTGACAGAGACTTACTCACTGTGAGCTTTGAGCTGTGTGTGATAAAAACTTAATTCTAACACTTCTAAACCAGCTGCAACCTTGAAACTCAAACAGCGTTGGAATGCGATGGCGTCCCTCGATGGGTTTTCATCCAAAGCTATCTTTAAAACACTGACCAGCC